AAAACATTTATCATTAAGGGGTGGTTATTTGACTTAAGGGTTGTTTTTCAGGGGTTGTTTATATTCAGTATTAATACTTAGTTATCATAGAAAATTTTTTTTTTCATATTTTCGAAAATCAGTGAAAATTATTTTTTTGATTGTTCCAAACTGAGAATAGTTATGAATTAGGGGTGGGCTTCAAGGGTAGGGGGTGAGTTTATTATTATTATTATTATCTATGTCTGTGTAACTTTCAAATAATTGTTTATAATTTAGAAGCAATTAGAATCTATAGATTTTTTTTAATCATTTACAAAAACTTTCACCGTCAAGGAATGATTATTTGACTTTAAGGGTGTTTTCAAGGGGTTATTGATCCTTTTCAATTTTTAAGCAACCAGGCAATGTTTATAAATAAATAAAAAGTAGATAAGAGCTGAAAAATATTTAATTCATCAATTTGGTTAAATATCAGTTTTTTGGGGTAGTAATGTACCGTGGGGGTGGTTTTAAGGGGTGAGACATGTTAAAAAAAATTTTTTTCTCATACTGAATACTTTAGTAATTAAATCTAATATACATTATAAGCCTAAAGTAGCGACAAAAAACTCGGCCATTAAAGGGTTAAAAGAAAAAATTTACATTTCATTTTTTACTTATTAAATCATAATTGACAACATATATATGGTTTTATCACGAAACATTATTCAATTTTCTTACTTCTTTTCCGACATTTTGTAATTTTGAATTTTTTAAAGTGGATTTGTAAATAGAACTCGAAAAACCAGTATATATTTAGAATTGGAACCAGTAAATCACTAAGAACATTAAAAAAAATAAAAATAACTGAAATCTCTTTAATAAATTATGTTTTTAGGTTACGTTTTGAAAAATTTTGCCGACGCTGCAGCTTATTTTGAAGAGGAACTCCTGAGAATTTAAAAAAAAGAACATTAAAATCGGTTAAGAATTGGCGCTTCGATAAAATTTCAAGACGATAATTGTACTTTTGTTCCACAGTGCGTTGTAGTGGGAGGAGGGTTCAAAGTTTGTGATAAAGTGTGATATGTGGGTGGGGAGATCGAAAATTGGAAAAATTGCGTGACGTATTATGCGCGTGAAACCCATGGTTAAACTATTACTAAATATAAACAAACACTTTTTTTGACGTAAGGTCCCTTCTCTCATAGAGCGTCATATGTGATAAAGATATATATAATTAATTTAAACATCCGGACATGATGTTTATTTTTCATTAAACTCATTTTACGGTTTCCTTCGATAAGGTGTCGATCTTGAGGACCATGTTTTTAACCCGTTCTTAATGAGCACGTAAGCTTGCAATATACTTGCAAACAGATTTCCTTGCAAGTTGTGCAAGCTTGTGGAAATTAATAAAATCTTCTATTGTTGCAAGATTGCACCAATAGGACATTTGATTACTTACCACAAGCTTATGTGCTGATAGGGTTAACGCTCAAATGTACAAATTTTAGTCCTAAAGTTTTCTGGGCCGCTGATTACGAAACTTAGATCGGATTTCAAAAATTCATAATGTCGGATTCATTATGGTAGACATAAAAAATTAAAAATCACACAACTCTACTTTAAACTTGTTACTTCAAGGTTTTTGGGGTCGCTTATTACGAATCAGATATTAGATTTACAAAATGTTTAAAATTTAAAATGGCGGATCCAATATGATGTTTTAAATTTTGAAAATTTTGCAAATGTGACTTGAGATTAATGTTCAGCGACCCCAAAAACTATATTTACAATAACGTTTAGAATGTTTTGTCTACTATCCGAATTGCATGATTGAAACAGTTAAATACTAAAATATAATGTCAAACTTTCTAACCAAAATTTGTACATTTGGACATTGATGCGGGTTAAAAATGACAATTTGCAATACTTTGGAAAAATGCTCGTAAAATAAAAATCTATCTCTATGACTTTAATTTACTGTGCTTTCATATGCTATATAATATTATAAGATATCTTACAGTTTGATTTCTAGGCCATAAAATCAAAACTATGTCTAGGGGAGACTGGGGCAAACCGGCCAGGTGTTAATTTCTCTGAATTGGTCAAACTTTAAAATATATAATATACACTGGAAACTCCCAAGAGCGGTCTTCCCGAGAGTGGACGCACTATCAGCGCGGTGTGGTAAAGAGTGAGGAGGGAAAAGATGGGCGGCATCAGAAACAGAAAGCAAGAGCGTCTGCTTCGAGTGTACCGTTATTCTGCAAGCAGTTTTATTGGCTTATTAATTACTAAATTCTAAAAAAATATTAATTATAAAATGACTAACTTACAATACTTTATTATAAAAACAAAATTTATTATTATTTAATAATTTTATAAACAAAAGTTTGTTTTTCCGATTCCGCTGGAAATTTTTGCGGAACTGTTCATAAGTAATTTGTAAGAAAATCGTGTAATGTTTATTAAATTTGTCTGTGGGGCAAACCGGCCAATTATTATTAATTAATTAATTGCTTTAAACAATATATTCAGTTGTTATTAAAACAAAATTATTTTCAATGGAAAATATTTATTAACTACATTGTCGAATTGGGTTCACTAATATTAAAAACTTAACAATGTCAAAACTATGTGTTTTATAATAAATAAGATGTTTCTTTAATTGAAATTTAATCCTATCTTATTATTTTCATTATTGGGAAGATTGTTTATTTATTTTTTATACACTGAGAAAAAAATGCTATTGAATCAATGAAATATTAGTTTGTCGCATGAAACGGCATATTCAATATCGTTCGAAGACATTTGCTACTAATTCAATAGCATATGCTATAAATTCTTACACTATAGATTTAATAGCATGCACTCTTGTTAACATAGCATATTTTGTGCGTTTAATTTGAAGAATATTTGAAGTGAATAAACCATGCTATTCAATTCAAAGTATACACAATAAATGATATTACAGATTTTATTGAATTAATTTCTATTTTACTTCAAGTCAATAGTATCATGCTAATAATAATTAATTTTTTTGAAAAAATTATTTATCAAATAATTCATGTTTCCTGATATTCATATCAACAACATATCTTCAAATTTACTCTTTTTTAATACATTTTCATACATCACACACACTTCGAATTTTTAACTTAGAGTCGAACTTTATAACACTTGTCACATATTTCGAAAACCTAACACAGTACATTTTTGAAAATAAATTTGTATGGACAAATGACAAATGATTATTATGCCACCAAAAAAAGATAAATGGACTGGCTCCATCAACTTCGATGAATTGCTTGGTGCTGTAAAACAACTAAAAATCAAGAAAATTTCTACTTGTGTTACTGCCAGTATAAGCCGATCAAGTTTTCAACGGCCATTTATTGGAAAAATTAATCATTTAACATAACAATCATAATTCTTGATACTTTTACTTATTTTAGATGAAAAACTTGGGTGGCCCACTTCTATCCACAAAATCGTGAAATCGCGAATTTCTCTTTTTTTACATAATGATGTAAAGCAATATGTTAAAATTTTTAATTTTATGCTTGCAAAATGTTAGGTAATCCCTTTTTCTACAAATAGACGCAAAAAATTTTCCAAATTATAATTTTTTTAACATTCTATAGACTAAAATCCAAATTGTAGCCCATTTCTGTCGGTACTACTCTACAAAAATTTCTAATTCCACATAATTGAATAAATGGTTCTATGATTCAACTACGTATACTGTCAATTTCATAGCATCTGCATTTGAACGTATGTGAATATGCCGTTTATTATCACAACAGCATGTGCTATTGAATCGAAAGCAATTTGTATTGTTTCAAATATACTTTTATACAAATTAAAAACACTATTTTTAAGGTACAACAACTTTTTTATTTAATTAATGAGTACACTTATTTAAATCAAATAATGTTTCTTTGATAAAATAAATTCTACTTTTATCACAACTACTTAAAATGTTTCTTTAGAAAACATTACGCTTTTAGTTTAAAATCATGAATTGTTCTATTTTAATATATTTTAATTTGATTCAAAAAATCTCTTATTATTTCAAAAAAATTTATTTCAATAGTGCTTTTTTCTCAGTGTATTTAATGACCTTTTCCTTTCTTTCAATTCTCTAGACAAATAAAAAAAATAAACTGGACGACTTACCCAAGAAGGGTGGCCGGATAACCTCAGGGGTGGGGCAAACCGGCCACTTTACAAATTTTTTTAAAATTGAAGCAGCAGCTAAACAATACATTTTAAGATACATGTATCTCTGGGAAAAATTTGCGCAATTAGATGACCTTTTCAACAAGCTATTATAAAAGGGTTTTCATTAGTTTGTTTAGTTACTAGAGCCTTACAACTGTTAACATGGCCGGTTTGCCACAGTTTCTCCTATCTATTAGGATATCTGTATCTCTTTATCATATTTTTAATTAATAAAATATCTAATAATGATAACTAAAAATGGAGTTAACGTCGAAATAATGTTTTATTATTTCCGTCAATTCTGGCCAGGCAACGCGAAACTACGATTAAAACGCCTTGTCAGTGAAGTGGTTAATGAAACAGGGTAGTGTACGTTTAGTGTGAAAGTGTAAAAAAGTGCAGGCAACAAAAATAAACCTATAATGTTTAACAATGCCTTCCTTAGACAAACGTGTCAAATGTTTCCTTGGAAAAATATGAGGCGCGACACGTTTGTCCATTGACAAAGTATAAATACGAAAAAGTGCTACAGTAGACGCTTCTTAAGTGCCCAAGTTGATATTCAGCACTCTCTCTAAATGCCCTCTTTCACTTTTTTTCTTTTGATCACACTGTGATTTGATCTTTTGATAAATGGAAACAATTCCAAAACGCTTCTTTTGGTTTGTGTCGCGCGCGCGCAGATACTATGACGAGATCTGTAGGGAGTTTATGGGTATGAAAAAATGGAGCATTTGAGGATTATAAGCACTTAGGGAATTGGGCACTGGAGGAGCGTCTACTGTATATTTTGGCACAAATAAACTCACCAATGAAAATTATTCCAGTTCCATTGCATTTATGACATTTTGTGACACTCGTAACTCCCCTTCGTTTAACTGGATGATGTCCTGGTTTGATTGCTAAATTTAAAAATATTATCAGTTTCAATCTCATTTATGAATAATTTATGGGGAAAGTGAACAACTCCTAAACTAAATGCGCAATAGAATAATAATGCCAAAGAAATGTCATAGTTTGAATAAAAAGAAACTTATAATCAATATAAATGAGGTCAATACTATGTATAAACAAGTGTAAGTAATTAATGATTATTAATTTTAAATAATTTGAAAATTGTTCTAAATACATTATACGCTCCGCAAGTTCCGGGTTCTCGAAGTGCCTAATCTTCTCAAGTGCATCCTTTTTTCCACAGTTGGAAACGCCTTCAGTGCGCTAAGCCGTTTGCCTATCATTTGCAAGTGCAACGTAAACAATGCCGTAACACTATACTTATACGGAGTAAGCGTGTGTTGGTTGGACTACAACATTTATTTACAACCATAATCTGGCATCTGCTATAAGATGCCAGATTATGGTTGTGATTACACTGTAAAAATATTTGTAGAATATTCACTAAATTTTTATGGTGAATATTCCACATTTTCCAGGAAAAATTATTTTCAAAAAAAAAAAAAAATTAGTGAATAACAACCAACACGTTTGTGAAAATTCTCCATAATTCTAGTAAATATTTCTACAAAAAATGTTGGTGAATATTCCCCAATTTTTTTTAGAAATTCTTCTTTAAAAAAAATTAAATTTTCTTACTGAAGTTACAAATGTTACTTGTAAAATAACTTATTCACTTTAAACAAAAGTTAATTACAACTTAACTTAATTAAAATTTTTAATTAAACAAAAATTTACATTTCTAAAGTATTAAATTTAACATATTGTGTAAGAGAACTCATTTTATTAATTATATAACATAAGTCAGTAAGTTTATTCGAAAAGTTCACTAAAAGTTGGAAATAGAGACATTTAGGTGACACGGAATATTCTTTAATTATTCTACATCTTGTTTTACTTTAAGTAATATAGAAAAGCATTGTGTGTTTTTCAAATCTAGCTATAAGAGTGGAGAAGAATAAAGTTTTATAAAATGATTGTGTGTTTCTGTGAGCGGCTCAGTAAAATTAGAGTTGCAGAAAGTTCTGTGTCGCTCAATCGTGCGTTTTAACACGCACATAAATCAAATTTTTTAAATTTTTATTTCAATTTTTTTAAATCATTGATATTAATCTTAGGGAATATTCCCAAAAAATTTGGGGCGATATATATATATATATATATTTCACAAATAAACCCTAAATTTGAAAATTGTGCAAAACTAATTCTACAAAAAATTTTTACACAAGCATATAAAGTAAAATAAAATTTAAATGAAAATTTTTATTCAACATAATTAAATATTACAAAATAAAATCCTACATAGTAAATTGCACACAGGCAAAATTTATACCGTTAAATCACCACAAAAAATTCTACTTAACAAATTTTTAAAAGCGAATTAATTAACATTCTAAATAAATATTTAATAAACTATACTAATAATTATATAATATAATTATACAAAATAAATTCCACCCCAGAAAACCCTATACGATTAATTCTGCACAAGAGACTTCTACATCTCAATAAAAAAAAAAACATTTTTTTTAAATTATTAATATTAATATAAAAATAAATCATACAATTTCAAATTTTACACAATACAATTCTAAAGGAAAAACTCTACACAATTAATACCGGCAAGAAGTTGGCAATGACATTTTTTTTTTTTTTTTTTGAAAAAAAGTAGTAAAATATCCCCAAAAAATTTTTTGACTTTTTTGAAATTTTGGGGGGGATAGATGGGGATCATTATCATTTTTCCCTGACACCGCCTATTATTTGAATTTTTTCTGTCTATAAATGCAATAAAAAAAATTTTGACAGGTAAGTTTTTTGAAGGTTTTTCCATGCTCTTTAAAATGGTAAATTTTGTTTTTTAAAATTTTTGAAATTTGACCTTGATTTTCTATGATTAAACATAAATTAGCTATTATCACTAAAATCGGTCCGATTTTTGTTTTAAATAAATAACTGCAAACGCGACATTTAATATCTCGAAAACAAAAAAAAATCGGCATTTTGATAATTTATATACAGATCGGAAAAAACCTTAGCTTTCGTTTGCAGTTATTTATTTAAAAAAAAATCGGACCGATTTTAGTGAAAATAGCAAATTTATGTTTAATCATAGAAAATCAAGGTCAAATTTCAAAAATGTTAAAAAACAAAATTCACCATTGAAAAGAGCATGAAAAAACATTCAAAAAACTTACCTGTCAAAATTTTTTTTATTGCATTTATAGACAGAAAAAATTCAAATAATAGGCGGTGTCAGGGAAAACTGATTAAATTGACCCCCCTCTATCTCCCCCAAAATTTCTAAAAATTCAAAAATTTTTTTTTGGGATATTTTACTATCAAGTAAGACAACAATTTCCCCAAGTTTCACTTTTTTTCGAGAAACTAGCACATATCATAAAACTTATTTTTAAAAAATAATAATTTTTGAAGATTTCTGGATTAAAGAATAATTTTGAAAAATTTCCAAATTTTCTTAAATGTTATAATTGTTTCTTTTCGTACTCGATTAGCACAATTCAGCTCAAAATTTGATTTTGAAAAATCATAATTTTGAACAATTCTGTGTTAAAAATCATTTTTTGAATTAAAATTTGAATTTTTTTTCTATAATTTATTATTAAAGATTCTGAAAATTGTTGAATAAATTTAATTAATTTTTTTTAATTTGTGTCCTAAATATTATTTTTTCGAAAAAAAAAAAAAAAAAAAAAAAAAAAAAAAAAAAAAAAAAAAAAAAAAAAAAAAAAAAAAAAAAAAAAATTCATGCACGTCAATTAATTGTTATTTTTGAGATCCAGCAAAGTCGGTATCATAACTTTTATTTTAATTGAAACTTAAAAAAAGATTTCCATATCAAATATGTGGGATCTAATAAATGATAATTAATTGTGTAGAATTTTTCGTTCAGAATTTTATTATAAAAAATTTGAAAATGTATAGTCAATACATTATATTTCGACTAAAGCCGTTGCGGTTTATTTTTTTAAAAATTCTAATATTTTTTTTAGAAATACCTAATCTTAAATGTTTTAATAAGACCTATTTGACAATGATTTTCTAAAATTTTACTAGTTTACTTCGTAAATTTAATTTTAAAGTGGAGATGTTTCTTAAAAATCTCTTCTTGACACACGAAAAAAACAAACTAACTATTTAGCATCAAACTGCTTTATCCTTTATTATTATACAATTTCGTATACCTATTAAAGTATGAAATAATGCTTTTTTAGTTTAAAATAAGTCCATACTAAATAAGTATAATGGTTATACTCTTATAGTAATTGTGACGTACTTTAAAAGCATAAAATTGATGCCCGCAAAGTACGACATATAGTCTACCTATAATAGCGAGAGCTTCTTCCTATTTGGTGGATAAATTCTTGCAATCTGCGTTTTGGCCACGCCTCACAGTAATCCTCAAGCATCGACAGGTTCGACTAAAATGGATCCAAAAATTGACTGAACAAGCCTTTAGAAGACTATTCGTAAATGTAAAAACTGGTTTTCATAAAATCCTAGCTGATCGTTTTGTCGAAAAAACTTAAAATTACGTTTTACGAAATGTATTTTCAGCATTGTATTATATACTGTTCAATAATCAACAATTATATCTGTAATGTTCATTGGTAAACCATTTTAGTGTACAGTACGTACTCACTAAGCATTAGTATATTTAACTTATAGTAAAATACATACAAAAGCTTGTAGAATAGCTCATTAGATTACTCTTTATAGACGCTAAAACGACTTTGCCTGAAATCAGAACCAATTTTTTTCGAAATATTTCTAAACTGCGTTTTACAATAATTCACAGTGGTTTTCAAGCATCTACAGGTTCGACTAAAATGGATCCAAAAATTGACTGAACAAGCTTTTAAAAGACTATTCGTAGATGTAAAAACTGGTTTTCATAAAATCTTAGCTGATATTTGACTTATAGAAAATTACATACAAAAGCTTGTAGAATAGCTTATTAGATTACTCTTTATAGACGCTAAAACAACTTTGTCCAAAATCAGAACCAATTTTTTTCAAAATATTTTTAAACTGCGTTTTGCAATAATTTTTCATCTTTTAAGATTACTATTAAACTTAATTTTGCTTCTTCAAGTTGAAATTCCATCCATTTATACCAATGAACCGGAAGAAAATATGCGCACCATGCAGTCAGAAAATTGCTTTCAAAGAGGTTAAACCAGAAAAGCTCCTTATAAACAAAAAGTTAACTAATCTAATTAAAAAATTTAGCAACAATAATTTTAATTTAAATGGGCCTCTTAAAGATACCTTTTTCGTAATCTAGAAGAGTAAGATAGCATGTTCTACAAATGCTCAATAAAAATTTCTCATCATTTAAATTAAAACTATTATTGATAAATTTTTAAATTAAATTAGTTAACTTCTCTTTTATAAGAAACTTTTCTGGTTTAACCTTTCCAAAAGCAATTTTCCTACCGCATTGTGCACATGTTTTCTTCCGGTTCTTCTCATGAGAACTCATTTTAAAATGGAGAAAAAGCAATTGGTCTTGTGCGCAAGCTATAAGTTAATCAGTCAGTTGTTACAAGAAGTTACAAAACTAATGCACGAATACATTGATATGAATGGATAAATGAATGAAATTTCAACTTGAATATAAATAGATAAATAAAGCTTAAATGGTAAATTAAGCTTAATGGTAATCTTAAAAATGAAAAATTATTGTGAATCGCAGTTTAAAAATATTTCGAAAAAAATTGGTTCTGATTTCAGGCAAAGTCGTTTTAGCGTCTATAAAGAGTAATCTAATGAGCTATTCTACAAGCTTTTGTATGTATTTTACTATAAGTTAAATATACTAATGCTTAGTGAGTACGTACTGTACACTAAAATGGTTTACCAATGAACATTACAGATATAATTGTTGATTATTGAACAGTATATAATACAATGCTAAAAATACATTTCGTAAAACGTAATTTTAAGTTTTTTCGACAAAACGATCAGCTAGGATTTTATGAAAACCAGTTTTTACATTTACGAATAGTCTTCTAAAGGCTTGTTCAGTCAATTTTTGGATCCATTTTAGTCGAACCTGTCGATGCTTGAGGATTACTGTGAGGCGTGGCCAAAACGCAGATTGCAAGAATTTATCCACCAAATAGGAAGAAGCTCTCGCTATTATAGGTAGACTATATGTCGTACTTCGCGGGCATCAATTTTATGCTTTTAAAGTACGTCACTATTACTATAAGAGTATAACCATTATACTTATTTAGTATGGACTTACTTTAAACTAAAAAAGCATTATTTCATACTTTAGTAGGTAAACGAAATTGTATAATAATAAAGGATAAAGCAGTTTGGTGCTAAAATAGTTAGTTTGTTTTTTCCGTGCAGATGGACAAATTTAATAAAAAATAACACAGAAATATTTTAAATATTAATTATTTCTTTTTTGATAATTGTTTATAACTCTTTAAAGTTCAAATTTCGTTCGATTATAAGTTGTAATTATTTATTATAATTAGGTAAGTTAATTTTAAAGTTGTGTCAAATTTCAAATTTACACTCTATTCACAATTTTTTTTCTAGAAAGTGAATTAATTTTCTCGTGAAGAATTAATCCTGTAGGATTTTCCAGCGTGCAATTTATTTTGTATGTTATATAATATTTATTTAGAATTTTAATTAATTTGCTTTTAAATTTTATTGTGTAGATGTTTTTCGTGATGAGTTAAAGGTGACGAGTTTGCCTGTATGCAATTTACTGTGTACGATTATGTTGAGTAATTTGCATTTTAATTTAATTATACTTTGTATGATTATGTAGAGTTTTTTTTGTAGAATTAATTGTGCATAATTTTCAAGTGTATGATTTACTTGTGAATGATTCGCAACCCCCCCCCCCCCAAATTTGTAGGAAAAATTTTCTGAGGAAAATTTTGGGGAATATTCAATGAAACACTTTCCACATTTGCGTGAGCAGAATTTTGGTGAATATTCCCTAAAAAATTTTTTTACAGTGTAGGGGTTTTGCAAATAAGTCCACCTGTGACATTTCAATTTCCTAGGAATTGACAAAACAAAAAATCACAATTTTACGGTCTCAAAACAAATCAAAATCAAATTTAATATCATTTTAGAGCAGACAAAATTAATAACCAGGGTGTACAGGAAGAAGTACAAAAAAAATTCCCTGACTTTTTCCTAACCTTTTTCCAACTTTTCTTTAATAAATATTTAATATTAAAAAAATGAAAAGTATCAAATATTATAGTATTTTTAAGATAATAAAAAACATTTTATTTATTAGCATTATAAACTTTTTCTTGCACCGAAAACTTTAAAAAATTCATAAAAATGTTCATTTTTGACAAATTTTTAAAAAATTCCCTGACTTTTAATTAAATTCCCTGACATTCCCATGACTTTTCCATGAATATATTTTCTGAGACATATTATATTTCTTTCCTCTATTAAAAAATTTTAGGAGGTTGATTTTGAATAATTTTGAAAATTCTCTGCAAAATTTTTATTTAATATTGTAATTTAATGAATGTCAATGTAATGACATTAATTGTAGATTTGTTTTATTTGCTTATAGTGTGATTCCAAACATTATTTTTTATTAAAATTATTATAACTTTGTTCATTTACACTTTGTTATTAATCTGAATTTTAATTGATTTCGTTATTTTTAAGGTTCTGCAAACAAAATGTATAGGTATAAGAACAGATGTGATTGACAAAACCATATTAATCTATTAGAACTTTAGAAATAACTAAATATGTCCAACTTACACGCACTTTCCCTATTTTAAATAGAGGATATTTTTAATTTGATTAAAAAATAAAAAAAATTTGTTAATTTACGAAACTCTTGATTAAAAATAAAAATCAAAATGTACTTCTCGTGAAACGAAACCTTATAAAACATCTATAAGAACCACGTATTGAAAAAAATTTTTAATTTTTGTCCAAACATATAATAAGTAAACAAATAAAATAGAGCGTGTCACCAAAATATTAAAATTACAAAATAATATTGATTAGTCAATTTTAAAATTAGAGTTAAATTGCTATTTCCTAAGCGGATTCGAGTTTGTGGAAATATTGTGGAAAGTGAATAAAAATAAAATAAATGATTTTTGCATTTTTTGTGTTTAACCCTCGGAGCACATCGTGGGGTCTGTGAGACCTAAATCAAACACATTTTTTCGGATATTTGTTTTAAAACGATTTTTTCAGGATATTTTTTTGAAACTTAAATATTTTTAATAAGACATTTAAAGTATGGGAACTTTTTCTATAATTATTTAACAGTATTAGAAAATATTATTTAAGTTAAAGAAATGAGTATTTTAGAAATGGTAGAACTTTGAAAACTGTTTGGGGTCTCACAGACCTTAGGTGTGCTACTTGCTTGAAAAAATAGGTAAGTTCTCTGAGGGTTAATTAAGTTGCAATTATTAAATTATTAATGTTTAAAGTGAACCATGTTTGTCAGTGAGTTTAAAAAAGGCCAACTTTTAAATAATTAGTTTTAACAGTGAAAAAGTGTTTAAATTGAATAAAAACTGCGAAAAATATATAATTAATTAATTAAAAATTCTATCTTAAAAACTAGTGGTAACTTAATCCAAGCGCCAAAATAATAATTTTTAAATTTAATTTGAAATCTTTTTTGTGAGAAAATCTACAAATTTATATTTTCTACATTAAATAGGGACCAATATAAATTAGTAATAAGAAAATTATATGCTTTAAATATTTTTGAAATAATTTCTCGCAGTTTTTATTTAATTTAAACACTTTTTCACTGTTAAAAATAAGAAAAAGTCTGCCACTGTTTAACTCACTGACAAACAACGTTCACTCTTAACATTAATAATTTAATAATTGCATTACACTAGTTTACCAATTTTTGTTTCATTGAGAGAAATTGAAGATAAGAAAATGATACTTATTTATTTATTGAAAGAAAAGTTATCGAAATATAAGCAAAAAAAGCTGACGAACTACTATATGCGAACCAGCCAAATTAGATCATGACATCTGAGAATATTATAAGAGAAGGTGGTCTTAAACCAACTACGAAACAAAATCACTGTACATCTTTTTCTATTCAAGATTTTGGTCATGTATTTAGGTTGTAAATAGTATATGAGGCAAAATTTCTGAAGTGATTCAATTAAAAAAAAAAATTTCTTAGATCGGGCTGCAATTTCCATAACACTTAGTACTACAGGTCAGTACTTCGCCCATAAATTCTTATCAATAAGTAAATTAAACAAAATGTCGTTTTTCTTTTGTTTTCGAGATATTAATTAATTAATTAATGTTAATAAAAAATGAAATATTTTACAAACAAAAAAGTTACCGTGATTCTGAATTTACCAATTGAAATCTAACGTAATTCCGCATCCAACGAGACCTATATGAAGTATTTTGGATAAGTAGATTCTTAATAAACAATTGCAATGCTCACTAATTGTTTAGTAACAATCTACTTATTTAAAATACTTCATATACCGTAAAATGGAGTAAAGTCGGCGATTATTACAAATTAATTTTCAAAATTTCTTTAATCTTTTATAAGAAAAAAAAATCCTTTAATTATGATTACTTTGGATTGTACGGATGTCAAACATTACTTTATACTTTTCTTTTCTACTTGTTTCTAATGTACATAATGTGAAAAAAGAAATGTTCCTTCCAAATTAGAACGAAAACAGCAGGAAAAAGTATTATTTTTGTAATTTTGCCAAAAAATATCAAAAATCTATTTTAACCTCAATGTACTGGAGGTTAGACATTCATATAATGCAAAATGCTATTAAATATTTATTTAATCGTTAATCGTTAACACATATTCACATATTAAAGAAGAGAAGTGAAACTTTATATATTAGAAGTATTAAAGTTGTATTTTATGTTCTTCTCATAGTTTTTAAAGAAAAACTTTAAAAAATCGCTGACTTTACTCTATTTTACGGTAGAGCTCTTTGGATGCGGAATTACGTTAACTTTCAACTGGTAAGTTCAGCATCACGGTAACTTTATTTGTTTGTAAAATATTTCATATTCTATTAACATTAATTACATTAATTAATTAATATTTCGAAAACAAAAAAACGACATTTTGTTTGTTTATTAAAAACATAAATTTTAAGCTTCATTTTAAGGGGTAAGAAAAGAAATAAAAATGGTCCTTTATTATAAAAAGGCAAAAATATTGATTTTTTAAAAAAGGGGTAAATTCTGAATTTAAAAAAAAAAAATTTGCATCATTCGAAAGAGCATTATGATTTTTCAAAAAATGCAATATTCACAACAGCAGGACTTGCAAAAAAAGGTATTTATTTTGCAAAATAAAATGTGATTTTTTAGGTTAAAATTAATAATTTATAATTATTAATGTTTGAAGCTAATTTATTCTTTTGTATTGAGTTATTTGTATCAAAAAACTTACTAAGAAAATTACTAAGAATATCTCAAACTAATATATTAAAATATAAAAAATATTCAAAAGCTACACATAAACTGTGAGGCCAAATAACAAACCGTATTGGTCATCAAATGCAGGAATATGAAATTTTTAAAAGAAAACTAATTTGATTTTTTAAAATGTGTTTTCTCAAAAACGGCTCGACAAGTTATGGGAAATAAATTTTATATACACTATTTATAATCGAAATAACCAAAATCTGCATTAAAAAAAAATGTGCTATGATCCTTTATTCAAAGTTGGTTCAAGCCACTGTGAAGTGGATAAAATTGTTTAAAAGGAAACACTTACTTTTTTTCACTTTAGTAGGATGATGCTCACAAGCATCTTCACTTCCACAATCTTCACATATTTGCACCTTCGGCTTTTGATGTGTATTTGTTTTGTGACTTTTCAATTCACCTGGTAAAATAAAACAAGCACCACAAACGTCACAAGTATAAGGTCTTTCAGGTGTTGTGGAAACAGTGACAGTTGTGGGTGTTTGCACTATAACTTGTTGAGGTTGCTGCTGTAAATTACTGGGAGTTGTATTATGAATTCGTTTATGATGATTAAGCAGTGTCATGTGACCAAAAACCAAACCACAAATGTCACATTTGAAGGTTGAATTAGTTGCAGCTGCTATGCTCATTTGGTTCAACAATGTATTGTACCCAACAGGTTGCACGTCAAAACGATAGCATCCTTTGTCATCAGTTGTAATTTGTCCAATTGTGCTCACAGTATTTGATTGAACTTTTTGAAGCATATTAACGTTGTAATAAAAAGGAAATTCTGCCGTAGTCGATTGCTGTTGTGACTTGTCTTCTTTTTTCTCAGTAACATACATTTGCTGAGCCTGTTGTTGTGATGGTTGACCCTGAGCAGATTGTTGCTGCTGAATTTGTTGTGGATCAAACATTGTTGAATGTTGTATTAGCTGTAACAAACAATAATTTTATATCAAATCGTCTAAAACATGAATCCTAGGCCTCGGGTCGACTTTAAGGCGCAAAAACGGCGATTTACATCCCAAAAGGGGGGTTTATGGAATTTATTTTCCGTTCTTTGTTCCCTCCTGACAATCTGAGCCATATAAACCTAGAAAGCTGAAACTTAGTACACATACGTGTTTTCAAGAGTAGATTTTACGAAATATATATGGCAAATCCGATTGGAATTAATTTAATTATAGTTATATTGGAGAAATTCAAAGTTTTGGGTCTAATGGTTTTAAACCTTGTACAAATACGTACACTGGAAGCCCGATCAGCGGTCACTCGATCATCGGTTTTCTGTTTACATTGTTTGTCGTCGAGGTAGTCGGAGGGTAAAGAAGAAGCTGTTGAGTGACGGCAGTACCATATACACGCGCTTATCTGATCCACTCGATTTGCGGTAGTGCACCCCTGTTGCTGACCGCTGATCGGGCTTCTAGTGTAATTTCACGATTAGATTTTATGAAAAATATAATTAGAATGCTAAAAATGTACACTTCTTTACTATTTTGTTCTCACTTATTTTTAGTCTACATTAAAAAAAACTATTAACATTTAAAAATTTATCTAATATGTCAACTAAAACAAACAATTTTTGTTTTGTTTTAAAATTATTATTCATTGTTTCCATAGGGCGCCAAAATCAGAATGTAAAATTTATAATTTTTAACAGTACCCCAGATTGCAAAAAATTTAATCGAGATTTTGACCTCAAGTTTTTGCATGTTGTTAAAAAACATAAATGTTCTAGTGAACTTATCAAAATATTAAAAATTTAATTTGTTTACCTTTTTTACAACAAAAAACTGTCCACTAGATATTGATGTAGGAAGTTATGTGTTCCTTTTGAACCCAGTTATTTAATTAAGGGGACATTTCAGTTCAAAATGGAAAAAAAAAGGATTTTTTAGGATGTATTTCTAAAAAAAATCATGACAATTATTCAGAAATTTTTGTTTACATGTTATAAATAACTTATTGAAGAATATAAAAAAAAAATTTCACTTTTAGTCGAAGATGGTGTACAACATTTTCAAAAAATGTTTATTTTTCCATGGGGGAATCGATTCTGAGATTTCTACAACAGATAGAGACATAAAAAACATTTTCTTCGTTAGATATTTCTCTATGGATGAAACCTCAAAAACTGGAAAATTTCTTTTTCCCTTTTTTTCTATAACAGAAATTCTGAATAAAAACATGTGTTTTTTTCAAGTTTTGAGAAAAATGTACCCTATAAAAAAGAAGGGGACGAAAATTCTACTTTTTTGAGGTTTCATCCATAGAGAAATATTTAACGAAGAAACTGATGTTTTTTTATTTTATGTCTCTATCTGTTGTAGAAATCTCGGAATCGATCCCCCCATGAAAAATGAACATTTTTTGAAAATGTACATCGCCGCCATCTTAGACTACAAATAGAAAACTTTTTTTTTCATATTCTTCAATAAGTTATTTGTAACATGTAAACAAAAATTTCTGAATAAATGTCATGGTTTTTTTTAGAAATACATCCTAAAAAAGCCTTCTTTTTTCCTATTTTGAACTGGAATGTCCCTTTAATAAATATAATTTAATTATAATATATAATTATATTATATTTTTCTTATTTAAAAAGGATTAAATAAATTCCTAAATATCCGATACGTTTAATAAAGAAAATTGTATAAATCTTATATTCGTACATATATATTCACACATAAGTAGGTGATATGTACGGCCCTGAGTGTGTAAACTTTTTGATGTGAAAGTGGCTTCAAGACAATCTCCATAATTTGCACGTAAAACTCTCGCACAAAAATTTCAAAGGTTTCAGTGTATTTCTGTCCACTGGCGCCCGCTTTAAAAATTATAAATAAATTATTATTAAATTTGGACCTCTAATGGCTCAGAATCCAGCTGCGTCAGGTGGATACAGTTTTATCTTATTTAAAAAATTCTTATTAGAAAACTGTCTTTCACACTGACTTTTTAAAACGTTTATAACTTTTAAATAACAAGGAATACACTGGTGTCTAGAAGGAAAAAAAAAGTTCGCCTACGATGCCAAGAAAAATCATTGTTACCCTGTGGTTTCTTAGCACCCTCTGAAACGAGAAAACTTAACCCCAAAATCGTAGCTGTTCATTTAGATAAGTTTCACTCCTTTTTAGAGGTGATTTTGAAATTTTTTCAAAAAAAAAAATTATTTTTTAAGGATCAGAAAAAAGTTTTAAATTATTTTAATGATTTTTATTTATGTGAGTGTTTTTAGGACCTCATATTCTAGATACAAGTGATTAAAAAATTTGTTAATAAAAAAAATCAAATTCGTAACTTTTCTTTTAAATAGGTGACGATTTTGGATATTTTATTTAGTTAATAAATAAATTGTGTTAATAAATTTATGTATATATATATATATATATGGGGCAAAATTCAACCACGAAGTATTGTTAGGTTTCTTCAAAAACTGTAGGAGAAGGAAGGGGTTGAATTTTTTGATAAATTGAAACAGTAAATTTGGATTTTTTTTGGAAAGTTAAAAATGTGTATTTTCAATACAAAAAATATTGAGATGTCCTTTTTTGTTATTTCCGAGATATTAATTAATGAATTATTTAATGTTAATAAAAAATGCAATATTTTATAAACTAATAATGTTATCTTAATTCTGATGTTACCAATTGAAAGCTGACGTAATTCCGCATCCAACAAGCCTAATATGAACTATTTTGAATTAAAGGAATTTTCATAAACAATTGCAATGTTATGCAATTATTTATTAACAATCCACTAATCTAAGTATGATTTTCAATTAATATTGAATTCCTGTATGCCTTACTTAAGAGTTATGAACGTTTTAAAAAGTTTCGATTCTCCTTGATTTTTACCATTTAACAGAATGTTGTATTCATAAATTAATAATAATTAAAATTGTAGAATACCTGTCGGTGGTTATTGTAATTCGAATTACTTCGTTCCGTTTGAGTAAAGCTGTTGGATTGTTGTGTTTGTGTAAACATGGAATACTTAAGGATTGCTCAATCCGCTGTACCTACAAAATATTAAATATAATTAATAACATCATCACAAAATGCATAATCGAAAAGAGATTCTGCACATTTCGTTTAACATTTGAAAGCAATATATTCACATTATCTCTTAGTGAAAGAGAAGTTGTAAATAAAAAAATATTTTTAGAATTTATCCGATTCTAACGAAATTTTTACCACATCTTCGTAACATTTATGGGTATCGCCCGAACTAGAATTTTTATGCAAAAATAACAAAATGGCGTCAACCTAAACAAAGTGTTTAGAGCTTACTATTTGTACACATACATATTTTTACGTGTAAATTACAGGAAAAATATAGCGAAAACGATGGGAGGTCACGGTTATAATTTATTAAGAAAAGAAATGAAATTTTTTCTGAAAAATGCTGAATAAATGCACTTTAGCTCTCCTTAATGAATTATGGAGTTTGTATTGGAGTACGGAACCCTCGGTTTTAGAGCGAGTCCAACTCGTACTTGCCCGATTTTTTGATTTCTTTGACAAAAATTAATATTTATTAACGTTCTTGGGCTAATTTTAATAGTATTTTGTTACACAATTCGAATTATTAAAAGCAATTCATGTGCATGTTCGTCTTTAGCGTATACAAGCCGAGAATGTTGGATCAAAAAATGTCGAAAGATTAAAATTAACATTTAATAGACAAAAATGAATAGTACCTAAAGTGTGTAAATCTTAAATTTACTTAAACTAATCAGAGAAGTTTAAGATTATCTATTTACTTGAGTTTTAAACATTATATTTTGTTATAGAATTCAATTTTAATCTTTCGACATTTTTTTATCCAACTTTCACGACTTGCATAAGCAAAGGAAAAACGTGCACATGAATTGTTTTTAATAATTTGAATTGTATAATAAAATACCATTCCAATAAGCCCAAAGAACATTAAAAAATATCAATTTTTGTCAGAGAAATAAAAAAAATAGTAAAAACACTGAAAATTGTTTTTTTTTCTTAGATATCTAATTGAAAAATTAACGTATTTTCTTTGTCAAAGTGCCATTTTTTTCAGAATTTTATTAGTTTTTGAAAAATAAAAAGGAAAGAATTTTAGATTTCCTTTTTTTGTTTATGAGCATTTAATAATTTTAATAACGTTAAGGCCTTGTTTAAAATAATTTATTGAAGCTATGATAAATATTGCATTCTAATTTTTCTAGTTTTTTCTATTATTTATTTCGTTTAGATTAACATAACCTCGAATGTTATTTTAATTTTTAGATTGGGCGAAAAATGTGCAGTTTTTTGTTGCGAATCTTCGCTTGGTCCTTTTTTTGCTTTTCCGATTTTTTCCTGAGATGCAGAGCAATGCAATACTTATAACAGCTTTACTAAATTATTTTAAATAAGTTCTTAACGTTATTAAAATTATTTAATGGTCTTAAACAAAAGAAATAAAAATAACTGAAAATACATCCGGCATGATAAATACAAACACACACTAACGAAGCACCGTATGTCGTGAGACGAAAATTGCATGTGATAGTGGACAGAAGTGGCGCCATCGGGAGACAAGAACTGATCAGAAAATTTTATTATTATTCGATAAAAAGAGAATTTAAAAAAAATTTTCAAGAAAAAATTTCAAAAAATTTCATCGCTGATTACGAATCTGAAGTCAGATTTTAAAAATTCAAAATAGCGGATCCAAAATGTGGGACATATTTTTCTAAAATTTACCGGATTCACTTAAAATTTGATACTTGTAATATTTTCGTGGTTGCTGTTTACGAATCTAAAGTCAAATTCAAATTTTTTTTAATAATTTCATTGATCGACTCGTTTCTTTGTCGTCAGTTTCTGTTTCACAACATTTCTAACATTGGCCGATTCATATCGCGTGGAGGTTTTTCTTATTTATTTTTTTTTTAATTTAAAAAAAAATTCAGGATGCCCATGACCGAGCGCCTATATTAGGCATTTGGTCTAAATCTGACTCTAATAAATCCGAACAGACATATTATTATTGAAAATAAGAAGATTAAAAAAAGAGCGACTCTCTTTATTTCAGAGTTTTTTTTATAGAATTTTTATTCTATTCGGCAAATGGCCGAACGAATATTCGACAGAAAATCTTTGAAAAGAATTTTAAAACTAATCAATCCCGATTTTCTTGATTATTTCTGATTGGTTAATTTTAAAATTAGCGGAAAAATTGCAAAATAATAATTTGTTTAAATAAAAAATCTTTATATTGAAAATTCGGTTAAATAAAATTTTTCTCAAATAGAAATTATGTTATATGGGAATTCAGTTAAATGAAAATTCTGTTAAGTGAATATTTTGCTAAATGAAAATTAGATTAAAAAAGAATTATGCACTGAGAAAAATAATTTCGTAATAATAAGAAAATAATTTAGTTGAGCATTTTTTAGTTGGTGTTACTAAAATATGATCTGCATTATATAATAAAAAAGAAGTATTTGTTTAAAAATTTTATAAAAAATGTAAAAAAAAAGTCGAAAAAGTCAAATAATTCGAGGCCTGGTACAGAGAAAAACGAATTTTAAAAATACTCAGCTTCTGACGACGTTAAATTTAAATAAATCATAAGTTTCACAATTTTTACATAATAAAAAATACCTACTTTCTTGTTTCTCATAAAAAATTTCAAAAAAACTGATCAAGTCCAAAAAAATTTTTGAATAAAAATGAATCTCACATGAAATGCCTTAATTAAGGGGACGGACCGCTGAAATTTCAACCTTTTGAAATTTTAAGGCTGTTTAAGATTGTTAATTTTTTTTCTGACAATATTGAGTATTTATGGGAAATTGAAAAACAAATAATTCATTAATAATAATTTTTTAAATAAAGCTCGAAATCGTCAAAAACTAAAAATTTAAACTTCTGTAACAATTTTTATTATTATTTTTCATTGCTGATTTTTTTATACACTTTTTTCATGATTCTGAATAATCAATCGTATGGATTTTGAAAAAATTCAATTTTTTCAAAAAATAAAATTTCCGAAAAATAAAAAAAAAATTTTTTAAATTTCTTTTTTTCATTTTTCATTGTGAAATATGATTTCAGGTTCTAAAAAATTTTTTTTTTAAATTATTACCCCTAAACCAAATTAATTATGTTTGGTTTAAATTTTATTAATTATTCCTTTAAAATTCATCTTCTTCTGCAATTTTTATTCTCTTTTATCGGTAATTTTTTTATAGGCTTTTTTCATGATTTTGAACAATTAATCGAATGGATTTTTAAAAAGTTTTAATATTTACAAAAAATAAAATTTTTAAAATGGTTAAAAATTTTTTTTTTTAATTTCGATAATTAACAATAATTTTAGATTCCAAATAATGTTAGGAAAAAAAAATTGATACCCCTTAACAACATTAATTTCGATGAGTTGAAAGTTCCTTCCCCTTAAATAAAATATTTAAAAATATAATATTGATGAAAACACTTGAATATTATGTCTCAACTTATCAAATTAGTCAGGATTATCCTTACATATTGGATTATTCTGCTTATAAACCAAAATTATGCTTTTTAATGTTTTTACAAATTACAATTATTTTTGTCAATAATTTTTTTGTACAGATCTTAACCCTAGAAGGAGTAACTGGGGTGTCTAGATACCCCAGCAAAATTCAAATTTCGACAAATTTGGAAAATTTTTCGTTTTTGCAAGTTTTTTTTAACTTATTTTTATTTTATCAAAAAATTAATAAAACTATTGTTTTCCTTACTAAAAAACTAATAAAAATCAGTATATATAATTAGTTTTATGTCAAATAGAAACCTTTTTACACAAGTTTCAAGTTGGGGTGTCTAGACCCCCAGTTATCCTTTAGAGGGTGAGAAAATTCATAAACTCCTTCTAGGTTTGAAACTATATAACATTTTTGAAATTTATGTTTCTATGCTCAAGCATAAAGTTCCTTTCTCTGTTGAAAATTTGCAAAAACCTACTGTAAACTTAATACTTTGAAAGTAGCTGTTTTAGTGTCATTTATTGTCGTTTATTACCTAGTAGTAAATTTATAAAAAGTTATAAAACTGATACCTTTAAAGTATTATACTTTGTGTAAATTGTCAACATTTAAAGATTAAATATTTCTGTAAATTTACAAGTCAAAACAATTAATCAGGCAAAATATGTATTTACAGTAACAAGGAAGGATGCGCTGCAACTCAGCATTATCGAACAATTTCTTTTTTAGGTTAAAACATCCATCAACAAATTTACCATTTTGAATTTTTCACACTGTGCTTCTTTGCATTTATTTAAAATTAATATTAAGTCTTTCGTATTATAATTACTACATTTCATCAAAAATAAACTTATACGTGATATAAAGTTCTAAATGTTTATGTTTCTTTTCCCAGCGTATAAATGCTTTATTGGATGCAATCCTTCAATTATTAAACTTAGAAAACAGCGTTTGCATATTAATACTTGTAAAGTGATAAAAAAAATTGTTTTTGTACTTACATCCAATGATGTCCATTAAAGCAGTATTTGGTTGTTGTGTTTTACATCAACTTTGTAAATCAGGTCTTTCCATTAAAATTGTCCATCGATTCTCGCTTGAAAAGAAACAAAAAATTTTTTTTTTGTTTTCTTTCGTTTTGAAATGCAAAATAACTAAAGTTAACCAACTCAGCTTTTTGAACTAATTTTTAAGTGCTTGTAAACATAGTGGAAAAATTCCAAAGATTTCTCCACTTCCGACACTTACTGAATGAAAATTTGAAAAAGAAAAAATGTTACAAAAGCTAAGTAAGAAATTTTAATTTTCTTGGAGCGTCGGCCTGCATAGTAGGACAAAACGATCAAGCGACAGAGGCAGCACAGCTGCGGCAGTAACTACAATTATCGTAGGTTGCGTTTTGCTCACTGGATTATTGATGCTATAACATCAATTATAGCATTTTTAATAAATAACCGGTACTTGTTCTAATTGCACACATAAAATATATTAACTACAAAAAAAGTAATAAGCACTTGTTGTCACACATTCACCGAATTTCCATTGAATTATTCACAACTGTCTTTGATTAAAAACTTACACTTAACTTTAATGCACAACAGAATAATCGTCTGCCATTGTAAATAGCAAGTATTTTTTTCAACTCAAGAATATATCTAGATAATGCAAGCTTTTACAGAAAACTGGCATCCATGACAGATTTTACCAGTCTTATCCGACGCGTTACAAAGCAATCCACGCCGCAACCAACTACTCACGAACCAAGCTTCAATGCTTGGCACAATTCGTGGAAAAGAAACGAGCCTTTAATTCACAACTTCCATACATATACGAGTATTATGTATTCACTAATTACAAAATACTGAAATTAACAACGCGCAGGTAAAAATAAGTCAACCCCGAAGTCAACCAATCAAACGTTAAACATTTACACCCGCCATATTGAGGAAGTATGAGGAAGGGCCTTAAGGCCAATACACGATAACTTCGGGAAACTTGTTTGCGAACATGAGGGTACGGCCACAGCTCAGATCAGCTATCTAAATAGAGTCGTCATGGTAACGTATAAGAGTGAGAGAAATAAGAACATTCTTCATTTGTTCACTCTTATACGTTACCATAACGATGGTTTCTGATTTCTGATGCATGAAATAGAAAAGGACAGAGATATATTTGTGTTTTTTTTAGCTCATGCATCTCGTTAGTGAACGGCCTTCACAAAACTATTGTGTGTTAGCCTTTAAGATGGCATCCCATTCAGCGGAAAATAAAAATCATATGTACATCTTTGACGAAAATTTTCTTTTCTTTACATTTGGGAAAATGAAAAAAAAATTATTAAAGGTGTAAATGTTCCATGAAAATGATAGAGAAAGTAATATCTATTCATCTCTTTCACTCACATGATATCGCCTTAGGGTCAACACACAGTGACATCGTAAACTTTAATATGAAATAACCCAAGAAGACTAGTGACAAGAGGAGTAACTCAGGTGGTGGGGATGTCGTCGAAAGTGAGGGCAATAATGGAAGATTCTCTCTGCATAGTGGTAACCAAAAATGGTTTACTGCGCAAGTATATATATAGAGCCATAATATAGCAGAAGAGAATGTGTCAAATCGCACAAGGAAATGTTATGATAGTGAGGTTATAAGTAATAATAATACTATTAATTATTATTATATTATTATTATTAATCAGAATAATATTATTATTACAGTTCTTGGCGAATTTTCGAACTGCAGTTCAGATATTTTACATAAATTGCCGGTCTCGGATTATACGACATTTACCAATTTTTTTTATAAAATAAGATTTTTTTCGACTTATTTTAATAAAATGCGATTTTTTAAATAATTTTTTTTATAAATTTTTAAACAAATCACGGTCTTTTATTATACAATGCAAATCTTCGTTAGATCTTCTTTATTTTAATTATTTAACAAATTTTTAACTAAAATTTTAATTTAAAAAAATAAGCAAATAAAATTATAAAGAAATTTTAATTCAAAATGACTTGAAATTTAATGAATTTCAAAAATTTTAACTTTTTTTTACAGTCAAAACTAAAAACTGTGACAAATTTTTTAATTCTAATATATCGCTTAAATCATTTCTAAAAATTATAAAAATGGAACTTTGAGAATTTATTTTAGAAATTTGTCCTACTTAAATAAAATTTTAAAAATTTGTCTTACAATTAGTCAGATGATTCTTAAATAATCGAAATAAATTTTGATAATATTTTTATAGAATTAATAAAATGAATTTATAATACCTAACAACATTAGTTATTTAAGAGTGAAAAGATGTTTTCAAATTAAATTACTTATTTAAAGTAAAATATTCATTAACCAATTGAATTTTGTTAAAATAAAAAAAAAACTTTTTAGATTTTTTTTTAATATAAATCAACTGAAACGTTTTTTTTGTGCATTAAAAGATATTATTTGTACTTGTCATTATAATAATACTAAATGTTTTTTTTATATTTTAGAGGCTGATAATAAATTTAATAAAATGCAATCAGTGTCGGAAGATAACTTGAAAGATTGTCAAAAATATCATTCGATTAATTGTGTATGTCAAATTATTTGTTTTATTTATCAGCCGGCGAAAACCCATGTGCGCCAAGAATGCTAAATACATGTAAACCGATAAATAAGGTTATTCAAGTTGGGTGGGGGAAAGCCAAGATGGATGATGGCTGGTGCACAATCAGCCTATCAGCATTCATTCCCACGAGAAATGCCATCATCCATCTTGGCTTTCCCCCACCCAACTTGAAAAACCTTATGTATTAATATGCGCAGAAGCCCAATATTAGTCTACTGCACCGACTACTTGCCAAGTACGCCACCTTCATTGCCCTCATATTATACGTCACCGTTCTCTATAGGACTCAAGCGAGTTCCAGCAGACGAAATTTTCTGCTGCTAGTTCTGCTGGAACTAATTTTTTATTTATTTTTTCTAATCTGTCAGATATGGAAGACATAATTATACGCACTTACGTAATAAAGTAATAATAAATTACTACTTTATTTTGAAACAAAAATAGTTATCATGAATTATTTTTTAATTTCAGAGAAAATAATTAATTTCTGAAATATCCCATATAAGCCGGTGGAAACTTGGGGCCACGGTGGTAATCGCTCTACTTTCTGTGACTTTACCGACGGAGGTGACGTCACGTTAGATATCAATATGGCAATTATATATAAATGCGACACGTTCGAGTGTTTTCAATTGCATATTGTTGACGTACACTATGCAACTGAAAAAAACAAGAAAGTTCCTAGTTATTTACGTAAAAATTGCAAAAAACGATTTTTGGGGGTAAACTTTGGTGGTGGTTTTCACCCCTTAAATATTCGATAGGGCACTTATAACAGTATACGTGTCGAATATTTTTCAAAGAACTACAACATATCACAAGATGAGCGAAATCGGTGAGGTACACCTAGGTAGTGTTCCTTAAGTAGGGTCGTCATGGTAACGTATAAGAATGAGAGAAATAAAAATATTCTTCATTTTTCTCACTCTTATAAGTTACCATGACGACCCTACTTAGACTTAAGGTGCTTTTATACCTCAAATTTCGATCGGATGAACATTATTTCTGGACCGTGAAAATGCGTGAAAAGTCATTTTCACGGCGGGTATTTTTGAATTGTTTTATACAAAAAATGTTTTTTTAAGAAATATAATATTAAATAATTGTTTTAATATGTAAGAACACTTTAAAATAGTGATAGAGAGATGATTTGATTAAAAAATTTAGCAAATTTTGCTTTAAAACGTTTTCTGCTATAAGAAAGTGTAAAATGACGATGCTTGTGAAATGGTTTGTACAGTGCTTCTTCCTTGTGAGTGTCTCTCAGAGTTTTGTTTATTTTATGTCGGTTCTTTTTAACTTGTAATAAATAATGAGTGCTGAAAATAAATCGGTAAGTTGAAATGTTTATCAAATAAATTTAAATTCAACTAATTGTTTCGAATAACTGAAAGAAACATGTACACATGTACACTGTACAAACCATTTCGCAAACATCGTCATTTTACACTTTCTTGTAGCAGAAACGTTTTAAAGCAAAATTTGCTAAATTTTTCAATCAAATCATCTTTCTATCACTATTTTAAAGTGTTCTTACATATTAAAACAATTATTTAATATTATATTTCTTAAAAAAAACATTTTTTGTTTAAAACAATTCAAAAATGACTTTTCACGCATTTTCACGGTCCAGAAATAATGTTCATCTGATCGAAATTTGAGGTATAAAAGCACCTTTAGATCGTTTCCGAATTGGGATTTTTAGCTCACTTTTGGTAAAGTGTATACTCGGAAAGTATGCAGTGTCCTTGTTTTTCCCTGCGAAAAAAAGGACACTGCATACTTCCCGAGTATACACTTTATTAAAAATACGCCTAAAAATCCCAATTAGGAAACGGCCTTAAGGCCAAAGCACAACTGAGTCGGGTACGCAAGTCGGATACGGGATATGTAAGTTCCCGCTATATACATATCCCGTATCTGACTTGCGTAACGGACTCAGTTGTGTTTAGGCCATTCATTATTTAATTCGCCATTTTTAATTTTGGAAAACTGACACAGGATTCGTAATCAATGATCCAAAAACTCCAGAGTGAAGATTTTGAAACGAATTTGATGAAATAAAAAAAAATCCGACAAATCAAAGTAAACAAATTTTTTTACCAAAGGTGTAAAGACCTAAGCAGAATAGAAACGTAACCGGAATCGTAACCGCAAACGCAACCGGAATAATGAGTTAGAGAGCGACAAACAATATGTCTATCCCTCTCTAACTCATTCATACGGTTGCGTTTGCGATTACAATTCCGGTTACGTTCTTATTCTGCTCAAGCCTTTAAAGCTCTATTAGGCTCTGTCACTTGTGACGTCAGAGTCGATTCTAGGTGTGACGTCAGAGACCTGGAGGGACAACAAACAGACGACACAATGTTATTCTTATGGGGAAGAAAATTAGTTTCCACCATGGAGACCGAACGACCATGTTAAATCTGAGACGACTGCTTTTCCCCGAAAGGACAAAATGTCGAATGGACAAAACGTCGAATAGCTAAACGTCGAATGGACAAAATTACGGAAGCCTGTACGGCTCACGAGCGTCTCGGACGCAAGTGGCGGTGTTTCGTACCACAAGTGGCACGAAGTCCGTCCAACTTGTGGCAAGTTCGTTAGTTCGTGCCACTTGTTGGACAGGCTCCGTGCCCATAGAGATAATATAAATAGAGTGGAGATGGTCTGTATAGAGGCGTCCGTTTGATAGAAAGAGAACGAGATTTTAGCACCAGTAGGTGTCTCTCTTGCGCTGGTGCTTATTGAAGGACAGATACTGGTGTTAAATCTTTCTTCTCTTTCCAACCCATTCTGTTTATGTCAGGACACTTCCCTCTTACGCAGCCGCCTATACCTTGTCTACTCTATTTATATTATCTCTATGTCCGTGCCACTTGTGGAAAGTGGATTTTTTGAAGGGTCATTCACAAATATGACAATTCCGTTGGATCCTGTTGCTATCTATTTCGTCAGTGCTTTTCATTTCAATTTCATGTGAAGAAGAAGAAATGAATTTTATAAGATATTAGTAATATTAGCATATTAGTAAATGTCATCGAACAAACTTTTTATAGTTCACACATAAATACTCCTTCCAAACGTAAATATACATATTAATAAACTACGGAGTCCACTAAGAATTAAGCGGAAGTTTTTTCTTAGTTTTTTTAATTTTTCTTAGTTTAGAATAAAAATAAGATTTTTTGGTTATGTTGTCATTTTTTAATTTAAAATACATGAAGAGCATTTTATTTTTTAAAATTAAAAGTACATTTTTATGAATATTTAAGATTAATAAAGATGTCAATATCATTTGTTTACACTGAAATGTAATCTTTTACATATATTTTCAATTAAAAAATAACAAATTCATTTTTATTCAAAAACATTAAACGGACTTGCCCGGATGAAATTATACTTGAAATGAAAAGCACTGACGAAATAGACGGCAACAGAATCCAACGGAATTGTCATATTTGTGAATGACCCTTCAAAAAATCCACTTTCTACAAGTGGCACGGAGTCTGTCCAACAAGTGGCACGAACTAAAGAACTTGCCACAAGTTGGACGGACTTCGTGCCACTTGTGGTACGAAACACCGCCACTTGCGTCCGAGACGCTCGTGAGCCGTACAGGCTTCCGTACAAAATATCGAAAAGCCAAACTGTCGAAAAGTCAAGACGTCGCATAGTCAAAACGTCGAAAGGTCAAAATGTCGAAAAGCCAAGACGTCGAACAGACAAAATGTCGAATAGCCAAAACTTCGAACAGACAAAATATAGAATTGCCAAAATGTCGAATTATCAAAATGTCGAATAGTCAAGAAGTCGAATGATTGAAACGTCGAATAGCCAAGACGTCGAACGGACAAAATGTCGAAAAGCCAAAACGTCGAACGGACAAAATGTCAAATAGCCAAAACATCGAACGGACAAAATATCGAATCGCCAAGACGTCGAACGGACAAAATGTCGAATAGCCAAAACGTCGAATAGCCAAAATGTCGAGACGTTATTTTGCTCTGAGTTTCCCTTCTATATAACACAGCTCTCGCTACGAGTCCAAAGAAATCACCATTGCGCATGCTCTGGTATATAGTCTGCTCTATGCTGTATCCAGCATCACTGCACTGTATTAATCTAGTTCCATATATACTTATTTCGCACGTTATACAATAAGATTATAAATTAACTATATAAACACAAATCAATAAATAAGTAAATAAATATATGCATACATATACACATACACACACACACATATATATATATATATATATATATATACACATACACATATACATACATACACGCAACCATATACATAAAACGTTGATTTAGAGATGATGATAATAACGTTTTGCATTAATTAAATTAGGATTTGAATTATAATATGAAAGAATTGTCGTCGCGAACATGAAGTTCTTTGTTTGCCTAGTCTGAGGCTTTTCTATATTTTATGAGCCGAGTTGCGTCTGGTCAACACGTGTTTAGTGTTCTATAGAAAAAGGAATTCACAACCTTTTCAAGTGGATTTTTATGATCTTTTTGAGGTTTATATTTCAACTTGAAAGCAAGGGAAACTTGGGATCGTATTTCCTATTGCCATTTTACCAAAATGTTTATTCTGAAAAATGTTTATTTTGTACATTTTGGGAACAAGAGTTTGAAAGGAATTAAAGCGTGACGGAATTATTTAAAATTAGTCATGCTTTTTACGAATATCTGAATAGTTTTATTTTAAGAAGAATAAAATATTAAGAGACAGTTAAGTTAATTCTTAACAAATTTTAATATTAAAATTTAGCGCTTTGATAAATCGTAATTCGAGATATCGAAAGTAAAGTCGAGCGAGAATACAGTCGCTCGTTACACCTTCCCCCTTATAGAGAAAATTTTTGTTTTTGCAAAACAAAATTTTCGACGAGTGCATATTTAAAAATTCTTGTCGTCATTTAATTTTATGTCTGGAAAGTAATTGTAATTAAAAGAGAACAAAATTATTGTTTTATTTGTTCACGTATACATATATATATACATTTTTTTTTTTTTTTTTTCAAAACAGAGAAGAGGTAAAATATAAGGGATAAAGGGTTGCCGGATGAAGTGTGAACTAGAACGAGCAAGACCAAGTTGCTCGTCACTCACCCTCCCCTTATAAAATATACCGTTACGGGATAGGCAGACCACTACAATGTGATAGCCCTTTAAATGCATTGCTGTCTTTGAAGGACGTACTTTGAATTTAGGGAAACCGGGAGAGAGAGTTATTTCTAGAAATTCCGTTTTTTGTTCATAAATTCAGTTTTTTCTTTGTATACAATTTAGAAACTTTTATTGTTATCGCAATCATCAACGTTAGAATAGCAAATTCTGCACGACCTCAGGAGCGAGTGATGTCGAAAGGTCCCATTTTGAACACCAATAGCGTGGCTTCTGGTTGAACCTACCTCACCATTGCTACAGTACGTGTTCTCAGAGTTTTAAATTTTCATAATGTGTTTCCAGCAACATGCCTTCCACGTCTGACCCTTTTGAACAGAGATAATTTTGATTTCTTTGTCAACGCCATCTCATATTGTGTTCTCATGTCTTCTTGACTCCAGCAAGAGCCTTCATTGCCACATTATCTCATATCCTCTCTTCCTCACACGTCCCAGACTCGGCCAACCGCTTAATCCTTTTACGACTACTTATTTTTTTATAATAAAGTTACTTATTTATGAATATGGAAATGGTGTTGCTCATTAATACTATCGTTTTTGTTATAATTTTCGGTTTCCGCGCTTAAATTCTACCCGATTTCAGGGACATCGACACAAAAAAAACACAAACTGGCCCTGGCGCTTCCAAAATTGTGACTCGAGTAATTGCCCTCTCCGCCTCCGCACACAGACCGTCTTGAACTCGGGCTAACGCCTTCAATGTTCAAGGGTTGTTGAAGAAGACTCAAGCTATAAGTTCCCTCGTCTTTACTAGTTAACCCTCTTGAATACGGACTTGCGCCTTTCGTATTCTCATGTAGATAAGTAAAGCTCGGGCAATAACTTTCTTGTCTTCGTGCGTTAACCATCGAATTTTCATTCTTGGGTCCTTTCCTTAGACTTGGGCAAAAACCGTCCTAGCCCGCGCTGCCTTACGTTGCAGTGTCGTAATCATCTTCCCCTAAATCGAAAAATTATTCGTTCAATGAATATTATAATATAACAATGTTATCAATTTTACAGTATTCGATTCCAAGTGACCACGTAAATTGATCTCGGCATCTTTGTTCCTCGTAAAGTTTTGTCTTGAATTTACATTAAAAATATAACACAGGTGGTTCGTTCATAGAACGTGTCACCTCGTGCGGAGAACAAAAGTTTAAATAATAAATCAGTTTCGTCATAAATAAATTGTACGTCACTACCGCGGTGTTATGCCAAGATAAGTCACAAAAGTCACAAGGATTACGCGTCATTTAATATTATTGAAACAAATTTGAGCAACAACATTCTGAATAATAATTCAAATTAATGTTCTATAGATTAATTTTTAATAACTCTTTTGGCCTCATAAGTATAGGACTTAATCGACTTAATTAAAAATTTAAAACTCTGAACAGCAACGGAACTTCCTATAACTCCCAATCAACGATGAAGAATTATTAAAATATCTTGTTTTTTGAAATTCTCAAAAATTTATTTTTAAACAATATAATTACTCTAAGATGGAGCAAAATGTTATCTCAACAATTTTGCATTTTACGCAAAAGCTTGACTGAAAAATTTACTGAGACCGTGTAGGTGGGGATGAGATAAATCTCGAAATTTTAGATAAAAGAGCGTCATTATGTTCGTCCAATTAGAGCTTATACATTTTGTTAATTCAATTAAAAGAAGAATAATTACAAACTATAAAAAAAATTTATATTTTATTTTTATGTTTCTATAATTGAGGGGCCGGAAACAATAACAACCAGTACGCTCGGCCGGTCGCTTTGAAGCCAACCCTACCGAAAGAGTGGTACTGGAATGGTACTGAATTGGACTTGGCTTGAGTTCCACTTCAGTACCACTACCTGATAACCCATAAGAAGACATTTTTAAAGTACTTTAACAATAGTTTTAAAGGTATATAAGATCAACAAACCGTCTCTCACGATATACGTGTAAAACAGCAAAAAAAAAACATAATAGTTTGTAGAAAATTTCTGTTAAGTTTGGAAATTATATTGCAATCCCTCCTTGAACAATAGATCCCTAGGTCCTTTGTTGAAGGATTAAAATTTTAACCCGAGTTTTATTGCTTAAAAAATTTGTAATTTTAATAACTCAACTTTAAAAAATATATATTCAGATTCGTTAATATTTCCAGATTATGAATATCTAAAATTTATCATAAAATAATTACATTTAGAAAAGTTATAATTTATCTCGTATACCTTAAGTTTGATAAAAAAATGGACATCATTTTTGAATTTAGCTGACAAAGGAAATATCATATGCATAATAATGTATGAAAATAATATAAATCCATGAAAAACAAATATAATATTGAAATAAATATAAAATTTTAGTTTAAACATATTGAAAAAGCTAGTCGCTTTTCACTTTTATGAGGGTATTAACGGTAACTCGACCCTTTTCGCAGGTAAATTTCCCAGTTCCATTTCAGTACCAAAATGCACCAAATTAGTACTGAGTTGGTACTGAGATCTCAGTTCCAATTTCCCAGTACCAATCCAGTACCACCCTTCCGGTAGGGAATCAACACCTCAAAATTGAAACTCAAAATTCGGATTTTTCAGAAGCACTACTTTATAGAAGATAAAAAAACATATCTTTTTTCTCTTAGAAACTTTTTTTTAAATCCAATATTTTTGATAATAAAAGCAAAAAGCCCAAAAAAAATTTTATCAAATGTAATGAAATTTTAAAATGTAAACGATTATTTTTTTCACAAATAGTATAATAAATTTGTTTACAACTTGGTATACATACTAAATTAGGTCTAATAAAGCCATTAAAACATTAGAAAAGGCAAAAAAAATTATTGTTTTATTATTTTTAATTAAAAATTGAAAGAGGTCGATATTCACATTTTCTAACTTTTGACGATAAAATGTCTGCAGGGAATTTCAAAACTGTAAGAACTTCTCTTATAATATTTATATTATTTATATTTATTTATATTATATTTATAATATGCGTATTTTAAATATTTACAAAATATCAAGTATGAATTATAAATGTTACTAATATTAATATTGTTAACAATTCTAATACTAATGTACATACATATAAGATACTGATCACAAAAAATAAACATAACTTTCTTCTTATTTCACTAATTTCTTATTATTCGAGCCGAAATAATTTCACATACTTCAAGAAAGAGTCTCCAGCGGGTTAAGTGAACGCGATGGGCTATCCGCTTTTTCTTGAAAATTAATTTTTTTAAAAACTATAACAGGAATTGATTTGGAATTTTGCAGAAAACTTCCTGAAATAGTAGTGAATAAATATTATAAGAGAAGTTCTTACAGTTTTGAAATTCCCTGCAGACATTTTATCGTCAAAAGTTAGAAAATGTGAATATCGACCTCTTTCAATTTTTAATTAAAAATAATAAAACAATAATTTTTTTTGCCTTTTCTAATGTTTTAATGGCGTTATTAGACCTAATTTAGTATGTATACCAAGTTGTAAACAAATTTATTACTATTTGTGAAAGAAATGATCGTTTATATTTCAAAATTTAATTAAATAATTTGAGAAAATTTTTTTTTGGGTTTTTTGCTTTTATTATCAAAAATATTGGATTTAGAAAAAAATTTCTGAGAGAAAAAAGATGCATTTTTTATCTTCTATAAAGTGAAGCTTTTGAAGAATCCGAATTTTGAGTTTCAATTTTTTCACCTTTTTGACGTGTTGACTGGCTTCAAAGCGACCGGCCGAGCGTACTGGTTGTTATTGTTTCCAGCCCCTCAATTACGTTATTTTTAATTTTTGTGAAGGCATTTCGCTTTATATCGTCATCTCTAAATTTACAACTTAAAATATAAAACATTGATCACACTTCGCGTTGTGTCTGTCCGAGATAATCATTTTAAATTGCAAAAGAAAGTCACTATTAGCCGTGCACTTATAACCACAAAATATAAATCGCAAAAATTGGATAATAAAAGATTTTATCATACATCAGTCATTTTGCAATACAATCTTAATTAAGATTTTTCACTTCGAGTATAAGAAAATTTCACTACATATTAAAAATTCGGCAACATAAGTAAACATTCATTTAAAAAAAACAATCACGCTAATGATAAAAAAAAATTAAAATAATTATATCGTCAAATTCATTCATTATAGGTTATTTATTTGCTTCTTCTAAGTTTCTCCTTCAAATTTACGGTTTCCTTATTTAAATTTTATATATCTTTAATAATTAAACTCTTTGTTTCAAATTATCAAAACTCTAAATAATTAATAAAATCAGTTAAGAATCATCAACAATTCAAATTCAGAAATTTCGAATAAATTTTTAAATTATCAAAATAATAACACATTTCAAACTATTTAAATTCTCAGTAATTTAAAAGAATAAAATTTTCAAATAACCTTTTTAATAAATAAAAATTTACATTTATTTCGAATGATTTAAATTTTAAACAGGTTTAGACGAATATAAATTTATAATAAAATCTTTAATGGTAAAAATCTTAAATAATCAAGACTCTAAACAATTAAAACTTTAAATGATTGATCAAAATTTCAAATAATCAGAACTCCAAATAAGAACTTTAATTATATCTTAAACAATGTAAATTCTGGTAAACTTAAACGAAAATTTTAAACTAATTTAATTAAATTTTAAACAACTATTAAAATTATACAAAACTAAACAAAACTGATTTGTTTTCAAATTTTTCGAAAACATTCTGTAAACAATAAACTCTAGAAGAAACAACAAAATAAAAAATTTTACAACAATTTACGAGCTAATTAAACCTTGCAGACACAATGTCTGTGTCGATAGCACTGTAGATGTAACAACACTTTTACGAGAATAGACCATTTTCCAAATTTGGATTTTCACTATTGCACAAACACTTTTCACTTTTCTGCTTCTCTTATTGTTGACCATTGGTATTTTAATTGAAATCTGGAACTCAAAATTAGCAGCTCAACAAAATCAGGAACACAGGAACATTACACACTCGGTTTAGTTGTTGTTTATACACAAATTCAGCATTTCCATTTGTTTTAAAGTTCTAATTTCAAGTTCTAAGATAATTTTCTGTAGTTCTGCCACTTCATATATTTTTTTCAATGTACACAAAAATTATTTAATTCACTCAAAAGTTTCAATAAAATATTTTTCACTTAACAGTTTGTAAATATTTTATTGCTGTAGTTTCACTTGTCATCAGTTCTTGTTGTTAGTTTAAAGTTCAATTTAAAACGTAACTTATTTCACTCAA